ATTACTGACAAGACAAATGGATTTCACAATGCATATATCAGTGTCAGAACATTGGCATTTAGTAGACAGAATTCTTGATGACACGTAGCTTGCTCAATCGACCGACCACAAAAACCGTAGACTTAGCAATAATTGTACTTTGGAGGGACTGAGGTTGGAGTTGACCGAAAGGAAGACACTTGGCCCCAGTCTATCCACGGGGACACTTCGCCGGTCACCGGGTTTTTGGTAAGGCGATTACTTTATTAATATTTCAACTTTATAATTTTTGTGATTGTCCAGGCTAACTTAACTTTTTAAAGTCAGTGATTGATTGATGTTAATTGTAATCATTTTTATAATAATTGATTTCATTTATAATTTGTGTGAATAAATATAGTGACTATTAAATTCCTGTTTGAATATAATAACGTGTCAAAAAGAATTATAATTATTAGAGTTTTATATATAAATTTCATTTGCTTAGGCCTACTTAAATAAAAGGAGCCTGTAATTATTTTATCATCAAATTTTATTATTGTCTTTATTATTATCTTTATCATATTGTCCATCCACTTTATTTGAATAGTGATTAAACATTCTTTTACCTCTCACTAAAGTATTCTTATTATTTAAATCGATCCCGGTTACGCCCCCAGTCACAATTCTAATCGTGGCAATGTGCACTTGTCCACTTCATCCAGTATTCTATGCACACAAGTATTAATAATTTGATGGCATGAAGAGCTGATTTAATACTTGCATTAGCCACTAAGGCTCACAGATCTAAATAATCTAATACTCTAGAAGAAGAATGTAGCAGCAGTGATTATCAACCTAACTTTAAAAATGCAGAAGAGGGTGCTGAGACCAACAAAGTTAATGGTTCATTTGAATCAGGGGGTAAGCAATAATTTTAAAACATTCTTTTTTTCTCATTTATTATTATTTCAGGGAGAGTTCAATATGAGTTCCCATTTAGTTGAACTTGTATCTCATATTATGCCTTGGTACAAGCCTAGGTATCACTCATTAGTATGTCAGATCATTGCCATTCCAATAAGTAAAGTCTTCCAGATCACTGTTACTACGACATTAAACTATGTGTTGCTGTATGTATGACAACCAACAAGTCGTGTAGATCGACCCCCCCCCCCACCAATCAACAACGTCGTTATATTATCTTACACGTGCTGGACAGGAACTCTCTGGGTTTTCACTGTAGACCATGTCATGACTTCGTCAACAGAATCTGCAACTACGTATGTTGATGCAAGGCACGTCGTTTCAACCAGCTCACTTGCAACCGATATTGTATTTTTCTGTGTCCAGATTTACATCCATACTTCTTCGCCCTTCATCGAGAAGTCGTTTATCCTTTTTGAATGGACTGCGAACAATTCTAACAGAATGAATAGTCCCTACTGCCAAGACCCCTATCTCTTTTAGATTGCAAGGAGAGTTGAACGAGTTGTCGATAAATAATTTATAATTCTTACCCTTTGGCAAAATGTCTACTAGTCAAACAGCTAAGACACAACAGATGCTTAGTTTGTCTTCCTCAACTGTACCATTACCAACAATTTCATAATAATGAGTTATGCCACATTTTACGCCAGTTACATGGTGAAATAACTTTGATACTCCACCTGTGGTTTTTTGTTGTTGCATTGTTTGATTTGCGATCTTACCTTGAAAGTTATGATTGATTCACAATGAGTCCAAACCCCTTTGATTAAAACCTTCGAGTCCGAGGGGGCTTTTTTCATGTTCTTCATGACAGCGCCAATCATGGGTCAACTCTTGAATAACTTGTCATAGAACCATTTGAGATATTTGTATTATCATTGACATGAATGTATGATCTAATACTTTCAAATACACAGTAATATGACTGCCCAAGCAGCAGCCTTAGTATAAAACACGTATATTTAGGGTATTAACGTATAAGGCATGTATACGTCAATTGCAATATGTATATAATACGTATTTTTATGTTTTTATGTTCATTAAAATATTGTAATACGAAATTAAAAAACGAACTTATTACAATGAAATAAAAAAAGCACAATATTTTTCATCTAACTACCATAACAAGTGATTTACGCACAACATAAAGAACCGACTTTTACGTGCAAAATACGTATTTTATATTCTGTATTAAATATTCAAAACACTGATCAGGCTCTGCTCGTTACCCAGAATTCCCTCAGTGTCCAATCCAGTGCTCCAGTCAACACAACACCAACAGTCAACAGTCAGTCGGCCATTTAATTTTTATGAGAGTTGAGGTGAGAGTAAACAGTGAAATCGAGATCTACAAACTACGAGTATTTACTATTTAGTATTATACGAGAACTGTTCGAGGTAAGTACTTTAATACTTTTAGGTAATTTATTAACTGTTAAAAATATTAATTATATCTCCTAGTTTATTTAATCACGTAATTATGTTGACACATTCGTTTTTTAACCAAGTCCTAAGTAATGTTCACTATGTTGATGAGCAGTTTATAAACATAAATCATGTAAACAAATTGGAAAATAGATCGGCTCCTGAGGGTAACTTACATTATTATAATTTTCCTATTTCAGTCAATATGAAGTAATCTAGGCCTTTAAATGTAGGGCTTAACCTGGTTAGGGCTAAGTTAGCATGCTCAATGAAGGCAACACTTTAGGAATGTTGTTTAGTCCAAGCAAAAAGGCTCATGAGTGAATTTCCCTTTAACTTAACAACTTTAACTTACATTCTGTATGGGCCAAGGCTCTAGGCCCTGGGGTCACACCCCGAATGTTCAGAATTCCTTATATGGCAAAAGAAAGCAGTGCGAGTTGTAAGCCTATGTGGGACACGCTATCGAGCACACTCTAAGCCATAGTTTGTACATTCTCAGATTATGACAGTCATTACTGTGTAGCTTACATTTATCAATGTCTAATTGCCATTAAGTCTAAGGAGCGTAGCTTTGTCTTAATCAAGGAGATCCACCCATATGACACTAGAAACTCCGATAGCATAGCCTACATTTAACTGGTCATTGACTAAGTAGGTATGGCTCAGAAATGTTTTCCTGTTTCAAGTGTAAGATTTTTCAACTGCCTAACTTACCTATTGAAGTTCTTAGGACCTTGTGTACTTCTAACTTAAGTTCTCTATGGTACTACATTTCTTCGAGCCACGAATTAAGATATTAATAAAATCATCCTACTCCGGTGACGACGCGACCATTGCTGTTGACGGCGATATACGAGTGGCGAGGCGAGTGCACACGGCACAGTTCGAGTCCTCTGCTGTCGTATTCCTTCGCGTTACGTCATGGTTGGACTGACTTGTACATTGCCTTGGCGCGGATTTGAAACCTTTGCATTTAAAATTGGTACACTGCTTTCTGTGCAAAAAAGGGTACGAGTATTTGTGTATCTGGTTTTGAACAGGGGGTGTTCCTAGGCATACATATGATATCATAAATTATAAGACTGTCCTCCTATCATGTGTATTGGGCGGCAGGCACTAAATATAGGAACCCAGGCAACACAAATATGTATATAATGCGTACATATGTCACCTAAAATTACAGATAATATACGTATTTTTTATACACTAAAAATACCAAAACAAAATATATTTATAATACGTATTGGGTCATACATATTTGAAAATTATGCCAGGAAACTCGTTAGAATATTTACAACAAGACTGTGTTCACACTAGACAGCAACCTAATCTATAATGAAGCAGATTTCTCACCAATGACGATTGGACTTGAATAAAGTGATTTATAGCAGCCTGTTCTTGCATGTCGTGTTTGGTATCAATCTTTTTTACTTATTTTTATATATATTTTAGTGTTATCTGCATGATGTTTGTGCATGTTTTTATTTCATTATTATGGACTGACTATTGTACGTCAAAAGGACCCAAGAGGATTATAATTTGTGACCTAACCTATTACTTAAATGTTGAATAGCCCAATAAAACTTTGATTTTGATTTGACTAACATCAAATGACAGCACCTTGTAAAAAACTAACCTTATCAATCACGCCATGCTGCACTCTCCTTCTTGGACAAATTTTAGGTGTGCCCATGATGTGAACATAACCTATTTATTATTGGTTCAAGATTATACTTATGTTAAACGTATTGCTGGTGAATTTGAAAGTTTTTAGCCATAAAAAAGATTAACTGTATAAATCATCTAAATAAATATTACACAAGTCTGTGTTAAAATAGAACTCTTAAATAATGATTATGATCATGTAAACAAGAAAAGAGCGCTCAAACTAGGATAGAATAAAAAATCTTAGATGAATTGTTCACCTGTCTCTATTTTATTAGTGATTTGGTCAATGTGATCACTTTGGAAGAAGTAATACAGATGGCGCCCTAATACGTGTTTACTTGCCCGTATTTCCGGTGGCGTCTTTGACACCCTAAACTTCAAAGGAAATGTGTCAATATATAACTTCTTTAGGTTCCAAACCCAGGTATGACTCATAATTACTTTTCATGCCAGTGCAACTTAGGAGGCAAAACAGCGCAACAAACTTGACACAACAAGAAAAACAGCGTGCAAAAAAATGTCTTCAGGCCTTTCAACTGTATTTAGTTTTTCGTTTATGGTATAAAGATTTATTTTATTCAATTAAATTATTGAAAAAATACTTTTCAAAGATAAGAAACAAACGTTAAGTATTCTTTTGTAATGTTACACACCTATTCAATTTTTGTTAACCATCAATTGTTTGAAACAGGGAATGGGAAAAAACTCATAGGCTGTTTGTTGTAAGAATGAGAATATGTTACTTTTCCATCAATTGTACAATATTTACAATAGTCATTTCTGCAATAGTCATGCACTACATAAAAAAATAAATAGTTCCATTTTTAAACATAAAAATAATATAAAATACACTGCTTAATTTTGTTCTCACTATTGTAATTAAAAAAATATGTACACAGCAAAGTTAACACAATACTTAGTCCCTGTGTGGTAAAGCTAGTGTGCCCTTATATTACCAAGTTAAATTTGCTTAATCGTTCGTGAAAATGTAGGCTAGAATCCTTCTCGTCAGGTCCTCTACACTTGCTCCACCAACTGCCCGCAAATAATTAGCCTGGAACATGAACAAACAGATTTTGAGAGAATATAATGTTATTAATATTTACATCAACCCACAAAGTCAACTCATGAATACATTTGGGACAATGACAAACCTCACATTTTTAGTATATTACAGAGCATTTCGAGAGCATTATATTATTGAGAGCATTTCGAACTATAATTTCGAATACTAAACTGAAGATAAGAAACCGTCCTGCGGACAAGGAAAACTGTATGGCTTTTCTTAAAGATTATAAGAATGGTCTAATTTGCAATGTCTATTTCAGGTCAGATGGCCATACAGGATCTGATTATGAAGACGATGTTGAAAATAAAGAATGTCATCCACCTGAGATTTTTTTTTTAGTTTATTAAGACAAAAATATGAAGCGAACATATAGGAAGTATGGGAAAAATTCGATATGCAATGGTTATTGCTAAACTAACAAATGCATATATAGAAAAAAACCACAAAATAATGATAAGAACAGAAGAAAATTCTACCCTGAGGTGAAAGCATTTCTAACTATAATTTCGAATACTAAACTGAAGATAAGAAACCGTCCTGCGGACAAGGAAAACTGTATGGCTTTTCTTAAATATTATAAGAATGGTCTAATTTGCAATGTCTATTTCAGGTCAGATGGCCATACAGGATCTGATTATGACGACGATGATGTGAATAAAGAATGTCATGCACCTACGAATTTTTTAGTCTATCAAGACAAAAATATGAAGCGAACATGTAGGAAGTATGGACACAATTCGATTTTGTTGGATGCCACGTGCAAGTATGCTCTTCCTCTATTTTTTTGCAGTGGTGGAAACCAATGTTAATTTTCAAGTTGTTGGTGTGATTATCACTCAAATTGAAACAAAGGAGGCCATAACAGAAGGTCTAAAAGTCTTTAGATCGTTTAATGGAGACAGAAATCCGAAGTAGATATTGGTGGATTTTGCTATGGAAGAAATATTAAGTCTGACAAAAGTTTTCCACGATTAATGTTCTTATATGCTCCTCCCTTAGAGGGTCGGCTTGGAGTAGGTGGACATCAAGAGCAAAATTGCCAGTGCCCCTAGGAAAGAGAGCCTAGGGAAGCAATATAGCCAATGCGCCTACCAAAAAAGAAATTGATGAGGGGATTAAAACATTTCAAAATTGGGAGTACTACAACAACACACCATTGAAAACGTACTTTAGAACAAGCCATCTTGTGTTTTTAAATTCAAACAATGGTGTTGAACGTTAGAAGACGTGAGACAATAGACCATGGTGGAAGGAAAATACAATTAAATTCGTCATAGTTGATGCGAGCCACCATCAGATCACGCTGATCCAAAAAATAAGATATAAAATAAAATTTTAGAAACGCTTTCTGTGACTGGCTTACATAACTAAATGTTTTTTAATAAAAAAATTGCGACGGCACGACAGCTGGTCAATAAAGATGGGATATCTTCTTCAATATCTAATAGTCAATGTGTACATTACATATTCTTGATCGAGTTTTCGACCACTGGGCAACCACTAGTTTTCTTTATTACATATTCCTTCAGAAGCGTCATATTTACGGTTGGATTACAGTTACAGAAACATTTCATTTTAAGGTCTTGAGATAAATTCTTTTTCGGTGTAGAAAGGTCTTTCTAGCAGCCAGTCTGTAAGTTTTTTCTTGAATGTGGGTGAATTATTTTGCTGTTTAAGTTGTTCTGGAAGGAGGTTTAAGGTTAGCTCCTTTGTAGGATGGTCTTCTTTTGGTAAGTGATAGCTAGTGGATTGGAAGGGTGAAATCTAATGTATGTCTGGTGTTGTGATGGTGTTCCCTATGTCTGGTTTGTTGGGTGGCTATTGCATGTAGGATGGTTTGACGGGTGTGAAGTGACACCACAGTGAGTATCTTTTGCTCTTTGAACGGTACACGGCAGCTGTAATTCTTCTACTTAGGGACTTCTACAAGGAGATGTCCATATAAGCCTGTCCGGCTGGGGATGGCTGGATGAGATTGCCAAAGTCAGCGCATCTCCACTCTCACCGAGCATGGATTTGAGTTTTGAGTTGGTTCATGGTTATTGGCTTAAAATTTGATAATTCGAAGCCTCTTGTTGTGCTGGTAGTTTCATGCTGGCTTGTAGGAGGAAGGCGAGGATCATTTAATGAAGTGCAGTTTCCCTGGGATACAAAGTATCTGTTGAAAGTGTCACTGATCAAGCTGGGGTCGTTAGTGAGGTTGCCATCTACATTCGGAGTAAGTGGTTTATCAATAAAATCTGTTAAGGAATTTCTTTCTGAATTTGTTTTGTATAGTGTTCCATATCTTCTTTATTTGGTTACTGGACCTCTTGATCTTTTTTGAAGTGTGTTCATGTTTTTTGCTTTTGATTTCCAGGTCATAGATTCTCTTCAGGTTTTGTAGGTGGTGTTATCTTTGTCTGACGCAGTTAGATTGTATTTGTTTTCTGCGGTCTTTAGGCTGTTTTGAGTTTGTGCTGATTTTCATCCCAAAATCGGTTTAGATTTTCGGTTCTAAAGGTTTTTAGGATCCTGGGCATAGTCCATAATTAGTCCATATTTAGGATCCATATTTAGTCTTATGGTTTGGATTAGTGCCCGATAATGGTCGTCTACAGAGTGAATGGCAAGATGACAGAACAAATCGTGTGTAAGAAAGCCTTTATTGCTATACAGCAAGAAAAAAATTGAACATCTAGTCAGGTCGTAAAAACTAGTTCGGGTGTCCCCTAAAGATAAACGAGGTAAACATAATAATAGGCCACATAAACTGACAGATGACGAAATAAACTATCAAAAAAGTTACATATCATCTTTAAAGGGCGTAGCAGTCATAACGGCTTACATTACTTAAGCAAACCCTATCTTCCCGAAGAGTTTAACGTTGTAAAGATATACATGATGTTTAAGGAAAAACTTCCTACATACAAAGTATCGTACGAATCTTACAGAAAAATATTTTGTGAAAGCTTCAAAAATGCTTTTATATACCATAAAACGGACACATGTAGGTAGCATTTGTGACCAGATTACTGTAAAGGTCAATTTATTAGTATTGGCGTTAAAAAATGCTCCTGAATCTAAAACATGCTCCTGAATCTAAAACAGCGAATATTACGTAAAATATTAGGAAGTTAAACGTTAAAAACGAAGTTCACAAGCGAAAAGCTGAACAGTTTAACTTTGCAGCTTTTACGATGAACTTTTTTACTCAGATTATGGCTTTCTAAATACACTAAATCTCCCATTATATCCGGATGTAGAAATGAAATGAAAATCCTTCTTTATAGAGGCGAAAGACCTCACGGTCCTTTCTTACAGTTAACCTCTAAAAAAACTAACAATACTGATAAACAAAGGGGAGCACTTGGCCAAAAATATGAAAAAATTAAATCTTTTTATTTATTTTTTATTTAAAAGAATGGACTTTTCTGAATAAAATGGCGTTTATTTTATTACGATATCTCAATTAAAAGTGCTAAAAATATTTTTTTTACAAATGTATGCAGGGTCGATTTTTGTGCTCAAGGGTCGTTGCAGTGGCTCATATAGTAATAGTTTGGCATTTCTTTTATCACTTGATGGCAGTTATGTTGGCTAACCTGATTTTTGCTGTTGTACTGGCTATATTACATCAGCTGTCATCTGCATATTCGTCTGTTCGTGGTTTGCATTGAACAATAATATTGTCTATTAGGTTATTAGTAAAAGTTATTTGAATTTACATGGTATTGTGCCACAAGTTGTTTTTCTTAGTTGTGTATAGTGAAGTTTAAAGATGCCTAGAAGTACAAGTCTTGTAAAGAAGAGAAAGTTTTTAGGGAATAAGTACAAGAAAATTGAAACTATATAAAATGTAAGTAGGGTTAGGCCTAGGCCAACACCAGATATTGGACAGGCTATTACAAATGACAGTGTTGAATCTAATGGTAGGCCTAGTTCCTCTTAATCTAAAACTAAAGTGACTCCGTCTCTGTCTGTTTATGGAGAGATTGAAGATTTTGAGTACAATATTGTAGACTTGAAAATGTTAGAATCAACCTTACAAAGTGTAGCAGTGTGCGATGTGTGTCACTGCAAGCTAAAAATATGTAAACAACATGTTTCAGGACTAGCATGTAAAATCTCTATTCAATGTGAAAGTTGCGACAATAGTGAAACTATGAACAATTGTGAATCTGTAGAATCCACACAAGTTTTAGAAGGTAAAAATACAAGACTATTTGATCTAAATTTGAGATTAGTTTACGGCATAAGTGCCATAGGCAAAGGAAGAGCGGCAGCAGAAAAAGTTTGCGGAATCATGAATCTCAACCCTCCTGTCAACCTATATCATACTCATGAGAAGTTTTTAGGATCTATTTCAGAGAGTGTGTGTAAAAGATCAATGAGTGAGGCTATAAAAGAAGCTCTAGCTGGAAATGATGGCTGTAGTGATTTAGCGATTGCATTAGATGGGTCGTGGCAGAAGCGTGGGCACACTTCCTTCAACGGAATACTCTCTGCCACATCCTTCGACACTGGTAAAGTAGTAGACATTGAGATTTTTTCAAAATATTGTAATTGTAGTTGTAGGTTTTTGAGTGTAGGCCCACATGAGGAAAAGTGCTGGTCCAACTATCATGGAACGAGTGGTGCAATGGAGGTGTCCGGAGCAGTCAAAATTTTTCATCGCTCTCTCAGTACTCACAACTTAAGATATTTACAGTACCTTGGAGATGGAGACACAAAAGCCTTTATGGATGTAAGTGCAATGAAACCATATGGGGAAGATGTTGAAATAAAAAAAAATCGAATGTGTTGGACACGCCCAAAAGCGGATGGGGACCAGGCTTAGGACTCTGAAATTGAAAAACAAAAAACTTCCAGATGGGTTTCGTCTTGGGGGTAAAAATCGTTTGACTGATGCTGCGATTCTGAAACTGCAGTCTTACTATGGACTTTCAATCAGAAGAAATTGCAAGAAGACAGTAAAAGATTTGATATGGGCTGTTTGGTCTACA